GTCTGTGACACAAGAAACGTAAGGGTTTCCGTCAGGGCAGAAAGCAGATGTTCAGTGGGTCATGTGGCCTCACGCTGCATATCCCGTGCTTCCAGGCCTGAGGACGTGATTAGATTACCGTCCCTTTTCCTGTCTTGGATATAATAGTTGCACTCAGGGTGGGTCACAAGACATCGGGGTTTCTATATGTTGTGAACTGGCTTTTCAGTCCTGATACAAAGAAAGCTTTGTTGACTCCTGACTGAATTAATTCGAAGCCTCGTGATGGTGATTCAGTGGCGTATCAGTGTCCTGTTCATGAAATCCCTACAGAGGCGTGCTGCACCATTTGGTACTTATATAGAGTAGAAAACATTTTAAAAATCCTTCATTTAACTCCTTAAGCTTTATAAAAAATAATAAAAAGGCAACCAGGACCCCTCAGCCAGATCAGATAAACCTTTATGACCTAAGTGTATGTTGTTACTGTTCTTGTATATTGTCTTTTGTATTGTATAGTGTTTTATGCATGCTTATGATGGAACCACTCATTCATATAATCTTACCTATATGTAATCTTACCATGTTTAGTATCTATTTCCCTCCAAAAGTGTGTCACCATTGGCTCTGTGACCTCCCGGAGGTGTGAGCTCAATAGGAGATAAAGCTCTCACATCAGTGACCCGCCTCAGTCAGTCAGTCTGCGGTTCTGTTAGACTCAGAGAAGATGAGGATGTGAGCTAGAACGCTTCTGCAACCCCTAAGTTCCCCCACGGAAATATCCTTTCCTAGAGTTGATATGAACTTACACTGAATGTTCGCTGGACGGACAGATTGGTTGATGGCAATTTAATTCTGTTCCAGTTACTACTGACAGCTGATATAAATAATTGTAATTAATCATAATTAACTGTAATTATTTATATACATTTCCCTTTTGAGCTAATTTGCTACAGTACATAACAAAATGCTTACTGCAGGTCTTCTCTTTTTAAGAGTTTATATATAATTTTCAGGTTTTACTGTAATCACAGTATGGCAAAATTGTCAAAACTGATATATATAACTGTTTTAGTTGACTGAGCCCATTAGTGGTCCTCTGCTACCATCTAGTGGTTATAATGGCAATTTCATGGAGTTTAACCTAGAGATATACTGTTTTGATCCTTTATAAGCATTGTAGTGCCAATTTTTGTCCAATGTCCATTGCATGCTTGTTTAGAATCATATGATGCACGAGTTGACATAGTTTTGTGGAGATTTGAGTTTTATTTTAGGATGTATAGGCTTTTGGGTAAAGTAGGTAAATACCATATTATTAAATGGCCCTGTTATAACTGTCCAAATGCAAAAGTTCAAAATTGCTTGCAGAATAACATCAATGTTTCTCTGTCCATCCTTGACTTAAACAGGCTCTACTCTCCAGCACAACAGTAACCCATAAAACACACAACAGGAATTTAACTGTTAAGTTGTACAGTATTTTGCTGTACAGTATTTTTCATGATTTTACGGTAAACTATTGGCAGCAGGGTTGCCAGTAATCTACAGTTTTTTTACAGTATGCTTTCATAAATTAAATTTGCAGTATATTACTGTTAAAAGATTAAATCAACTAAAAATAAAACGCATTAAATCTCTCAAGATCTCAGCAGAGGATGATTAAACAACCCCCAAAACAGCATTACCAGCTTCACGTATTACTAACCAGTGTGACTTTATTTCTGCCATATGTGTACAAAAGTTCTTATTGAAATTTTAGGTGCTGTACTTTCATTTGAACAGTGTTTGTTTCAGTTGCATCTTTTGTTGTTCAGTGGCAATACCTTTGTCTGTCGTTTAATCCAGCTGATATTAATAGTGCATGTGGAGTCAGTAGTGCATGTGAAATCAAAACTCAGTGGTTTGAAACAGAAATAATCCATTCTAGCATTTTTATTTATAGAACAAATATGTACTGAATATGCATACTGTACATACTGCATATACAGTATCTGTGCACATGCTTTATAGCGGAACTGAATCAACATTGAACTAAAATGTGCTGAATAATGACACTATTGAAGCAGAAAATGAAGTTGTTCATAATCCATGAATTTTGCAACATTAACAGTTTATTACTGGGAAGTTGCTTTGAAATGATCTGTATTGTATAAAGCACTATATACCTGTAAATAAATGTGATTTGACAAACATGAGCGCTATGAGAAACTGCTGTGCACTTTACTGCACACTGAACATGCAAAAAATACAATACGGTGCTGTTCTTGTTTTTGCTTGACAGAAAACATGCCCTTGGAGATTTTTTTACACTGATGAATTTTAGAAAAAAGGCTGGATCATAGTTTTTTTCAAAATGTTTCTGCTTACTTTAGCTAATATATTATAGGTATACAAGTATAGGGTATATAAAACTGTTAGAATAAGCAAACCCACTGCATTACTATATGCATACATTGCTTTGCAAACATACTGAATGTTATCTAGGTCATTTATCAGTGTTTTTCAAATTTTCTAAACGATGATTCAAACCAAAAGAGGCATTGCAGTCTTTTTCAAGTCTGTTGTTAATTGACATTTTGATCGGCATTGCTATTCTTACTACTAATAGATTTATTTTACCTTGTACAGTATGTGCTGTTTTAAATAAACAGCATTCAAATAAACACTTTATTGTTCTAAACTCTAAAGTCTAATTATAGGGATTTATAGTTTATTGACAAACTTGTAACTGCCTGTTGAAGCATCATTTTTGAAGTTTTACACATGAATTATTCTGTGTAAAAACAGTAATATCTGTCTCCATCTGCTGGTCACTTTTAATACTATTCGAAGTGATTTACTTGTAATGCATGTTTTGAAAATAAATATTTACTTGAAATAATCATCAACTTATTCATTATTCTTGTTATGTCATGGTGGTGGTGATGCTATTTATTATTAGTAGTAGAGGTAATGAATTATTATTGTTATATATTATATAATAATATTGGTGTTATCAATAATGTTTTACTAGTAACAATACTACTGTAAATATGAACAATGGCATATGCTATCAAAGAAATCTACTTCATACCCTTACTGTCATATTAACTCAACTTTTCAAAATGCATAAATCAGAATCATAATTTGTTAATTATTAAAAGTTCTAATTACTTGTTGCATATATATATATATATATATATATATATATATATAAAAGACTTAGACATGCACAGTTGATTAACTATAACACTTTTGTGGTTGTCTGTTGTTATGTCATGCTTTTATATGAAATATCTCATGTTTTGTATTTTTAATGTCTCATTGTCATTATTTGTTTCTTGCCCCTCTTGCATATGCAAGGTGGTTTAGATATTAATTAGATGATGATTAGCAATAGCGTTCATGTTCAGAATTATTGGGAGAGCTGCATAAAGCCAGTATTTCTCCAACATTCTCCCTCAAAGTATTTATGAGGCCTGGTAAACTCTGACTATAAAGGAGACGATTCTCTGCAACATTTTCTGCTGCCTTCATCACATCTTTCATGGCCTTTATCACAGGCTCCCAGAGGATGAAGCTCTGGGTTTGTTTCTCCAATACAGTGGCTCTTCCACTAAGAAGAGTCAGAAGGTTCACAGCTCGCCTGACCGTTTCCTGAAGTTCAGCTGTGAACTGTAGATGCTGCTTCAAATCTTCAATTTCCTTCTCCAGTTTATTTAGCAACTTAACTGTCTCTTCAGTCTCATTCTGTATGTTAGCGATCTTGGATTGGTAATCAGACACCTTCATGCTGTTCTCATTCAACTGGGACTCCTGTTTTTTTAGCTCATTTTCAGCATCCCTGATAGCGTTTGAAGCCTTAACAATTTCGCTGGCTCCCACAGACATCATTATTATACCTAGTGGAAGGCAAGAAATCTTATCAGCCACAAATATAGGTTAGTTGTACTTGTTAAGATGATAATAAAAAGTAGTAGTAGATACGAGAGGATTTCTCACCAGGAATCCATCCGATAATTGGTATTGCAGCCACTACCGCCCCTCCAATTGTTACACCTGTACCAGTGTTCTGTCTAGCTCTCTGTCTTTGAAGTTCATCTTGTGTTAATACTACCATTTTTTTAGCCTGTTCCAAAGCTGCTTTAGAATTATTTAATGATTCTTCAGCAGATTTCTTCTCAATGTCGAATTCACCCATTGCTTTGCATTTTTCTTTGTTCTGCTGCTCAGCATTTCCTTTTTCTTTAATAAGTCGCTCCATGCATTCGTCTAAATATTTTAGTTTTTCCTTAATCATTGTTTCTGATTTTTTCAGGCACTGCTCAGCATGCTCAATATGCTTCCTGATTTGTTCATTATTACAGCACATGCCAGTGGTGGGATCAAGTTCTGCATCCAAGAGAGACTTGGAGATGTTACAGATAGAGACTATTCCCTCATGTAGAGACCCAACAACTTTCTCAATATACTGCAAATCCATAACACTGCAAGTTTGAAGATAAGGAAAGAGAAAAACATTTCATTTTTAATTCACAACAACATCATATCAATAATAGACCATCATTCACATTTAATAAAAGCAATACTTTGTGAATACAGACTAGATTAAACTTACTCAGATAAGTGGAACTGTCTGAATTCAGCTGTCACAAACAAAACACAAAAATAAGAAATATGAATGATATTGTGTGTCCTTGTAAAATGGTGCCATTGACTTCTGTAACAAAGTTTTGGAGTAATTGTAAGTATTACCATTTTTATTTAATTTGAATTCACAACAACTCCAAAACAAATTCAAAGATATTTAACCTTGAGATAAAGAAACATCTCTTAAGGTAACTGTAGTATAGAGTGAGCCAATTAGCCAAGGATTAGCAATATTACACAAGTGTGCTGTTGATCTCAATATCAGCACATGATACTATTCCTTCAAAATGTCCTTGTGCTTTTGTTTTGTGAACTTTTTGTTAGTAGTTCTTTCTTGTGTTCCAGTTTCCTGTTTCCCCTGTCTAATTGTTCTCACCTGTTTCTTGTTACACTTATTATTCTTTGTGTGTTTACTGTGGGTAAATCCCTACTCAAGGAGAGCCCTTGAAGTGGGGATTTTGGAGGGACTTGTGTGTGATAATGTAGGCATTTGGAACGTACTAGGAGAAGGGAGCAATGAAAGACCATAATTGTTTCATTATGTTCCCCGGAATGTCACCATGACAATAGCTATATTTCCATCCAAAGTTGCGAATTTAACCTGTGCACAAAATTAGAACATCGCACAAAAAAAATGTCCTTGTGCTTTTGTTTTGTGAACTTTTTGTTAGTAGTTCTTTCTTGTGTTCCAGTTTCCTGTTTCCCCTGTCTAATTGTTCTCACCTGTTTCTTGTTACACTTATTATTCTTTGTGTGTTTACTGTGGGTAAATCCCTACTCAAGGAGAGCCCTTGAAGTGGGGATTTTGGAGGGACTTGTGTGTGATAATGTAGGCATTTGGAACGTACTAGGAGAAGGGAGCAATGAAAGACCATAATTGTTTCATTATGTTCCCCGGAATGTTACCATGACAATAGCTATATTTCCATCCAAAGTTGCGAATTTAACCTGTGCACAAAATTAAAACATCGCACAAAACATTTGCGAATAAAGCAACATATCAGTCAACGTGTTCAAGAGAATGAGATCATCACTTTCTGAGAACTTGGGCAAAGTCTCAATTAAAATATATATACACCTGTCTCTGTTGAGACAAAATCACATTACTTTTTTGATGCACATCAAGGAATTTATTCAATAAATAATAAGTAATAAGTAATATCTTCTTATCAGATAAAAAATATATATATCCAATTCAATTGAGTGCATGCATTTTTTTAATGCACATTTTTAGAATTTATGCATATCTTGGCATTTCCATCCAGCAGTAACCTAAAATTTGCATAAAAATAGCTGGATGGAAACAGCTAATGCAGCTCTCCCTCTCTGCTCTCAACTTTATAAAACTTGATTTCCTATGAAACTTATTTAAATTTCATATTAAATGCAAGAAAAAATTCAAATAATTCACCAGCCACACACTGGTTCCTATATCCATGGCAACAGCGACTCTCTTTGGAGTCTGGGCTTATGGGTAGTGCAGTAATTTAACAGTAGATCTGCAATTATTAAACAGTTTTTTATTATTAGTCCTTTTACATTTTTGTTACAAAAACAATTTATCCTCCTTAATGAAAGAATATAGACTAGGGGCACCCCTGCCCCTGTAGCATCTGGGTATGCACGTGCATATGGGCCCGGGCTGATTGGAGGACCGCCAAGGGGGACCATTTAATTAAAACGAGGGAACATATTATTAATTCATGGCTACAATAAATATATATTTTTGTCTGCATGTCATGTGCAGGTCTCTGTAATTTCTTGTGTGCATTTGTTAAATTGCTGCCGTAGAACTGCGTCATTTTTTAAAACTACATGCAAACGCTGCATTGCCACGGCCAAATAATATAATAATTAAAAATAGCTAGCTAGCTAGTTGAAAAGACTGGATCACAACTGTATCACATCTAGCCTCAGCGAAACCTGCACAGTTTTAATTATCTTTCTTTCATTTTAATTCTCTTTTATTGAAAGACGTTTGAAAGTAGCCGTTCTTTCCATTGAGAATACACAAAGCCTTAAATTAAACACCAAGGACATTGTGGATGAATTTGCCGGAAAAAGGCCCAGAGAATTAAACTGAATTAATTACAACTAAAATGTGAGTATTTTTTCTTCTTTCTTTCTGTTTATTTTTAATTTTTTTGGCCGCTGCCTCAAGAGTGTGTTTACATTAAGTAATATAGTAAATATGACAGCATTTTAGTGCCATAATATTTTCAGAATAAAGTCAAAATTACAAGATTAAAGTTGTGCTGCATGAATAAAGTTATTTAATGTGAAAAAAAGTGACTGATTTATGAAAATAATAAAACAATGTTCGTAAAGTTGTTGGCGTTTCTGGGGTAAATGTTATGTACGACTGTCATGACTATTCACAAGCTGTTTTATTGATGCTTTTTGAAACACTGATTGATCGATTAGCCTACATGATACATTTGTTTTATTAAGTTGTTCTGATTTTTTTTTCAACATGTCTTCTGATATTCATTCATGTTTATTTTGTGCTAGAAAAGAGGAAAAGTGAGTGAGTGTGACCAAGTATGGTGACCCATACTCTGAATTTTTGCTCTGTATTTAATCCATCCAAGTGCAGTGACTGATTTATGAAAATAATAAAACAATGTTCGTAAAGTTGTTGGCGTTTCTGGGGTAAATGTTATGTACGACTGTCATGACTATTCACAAGCTGTTTTATTGATGCTTTTTGAAACACTGATTGATCGATTAGCCTACATGATACATTTGTTTTATTAAGTTGTTCTGATTTTTTTTTCAACATGTCTTCTGATATTCATTCATGTTTATTTTGTGCTAGAAAAGAGAAAAAGTGAGTGAGTGTGACCAAGTATGGTGACCCATACTCTGAATTTTTGCTCTGTATTTAATCCATCCAAGTGCGCACACACAGTAGTGAACACACACACCCGGAGCAGTGGGCAGCCATATTGTTGTGGTGCCCAGTGAGCAGTTGGGGGTTCGGTTCTTGCTCAAGGGTCTCACCTCAGTCATGGTATTGAGGGTGGAAGATAGCGCTGGTTATTCACTCCCCCCACCTACAATTCCTGCCGGACCTCAGACGCGAACCCGCAACCTTCGGGTTATAAGTCCGACTCTCTAACCATTAGGCCACGACTGCCTAATAGTTAAAAGATGATTGGGTGGCAGGCACGCTACAAATAATGAATGGACTTAAACATTTAAATATTATTTATACCGTCAATAAAACAGCTTGGCGGCCATGACGATGGTGGAGAAGGCGAGTTTTGAGTTTTGAGCAATTTAGCCGGCGGCATGGACTTAAAGTCCGCATGAAATCAAAATTGACTTTATTTACTTTACTAGCGCACATTGCTAGTCTTGATGTGAACAATTAATCCGCGCAAAATAATCCGCTGAAAATAATTGTTTGTCTTGGTAATCTTTAATCAAAACCTGAACATTTACTTCCGCTCTGGAATGGCATTCCTTCTCTGATGACGTCAGTTTGACGGCTTGGGCAGAAACCGTTAGGTTGCTATGAGTGAGAGACAGAGAGGAGGAGCGCAAAAATAAAACCATGCCCTCTATTCAATATTCCGTTTCAGCTGGAAATACATCACTACACTGAAATAAAGTCGGCAGCAACTTCCGGTTCACGCGGACTTTAAAGTGTCGGTCGGGGTTGAGTGCCCAGTTGTGGAAGTTGTTCTAGCGGTAGGAGAGGTGGTTGGTCACAATAGCATCCGATCAGCGTCTAGAATGAATGGTGCTGTTGTATTGTTCTTGGATAAAGTTGAAAAAGTCAATGACACTGTAGAAAGCGGTATAGTTCTTAATGACAGTTTCGTTAAGATTTTTCCACTTGTTAACCCGGCAAGAAAAGTCTTGCTCTCTAATGTACCCCCGTTTATTACCGATGAAGCGTTGCAACATGAACTGTCTACATATGGACAGTTTGCATCTGCAATAAAGAAAATTCCCCTGTGTTGTTAGTCTCCATTGTTAAAGCATGTGGTTTCTTTCCATAGACAAGTTCACATGATTTTGAGAATGGACATTAAAAAAAATGAATGTTGCTTTCAAATTTAAAGTAGATGGTTTTGAATACATGATTTTTGCAACGACTGAAAATATGAAGTGCTTTGGTTGTGGAAAAGAAGGGCATTTAGTGCGCTCTTGTCCTGAAAAAGGAAAATGAAGGTAGATGAAAAAGAACGGTAAATGAAAATGCTTCTCCGAGTCAAAATGTTAACCAAGCAACTGATGCAGTAAAAGAGAGAGAGGCTAATGAAATGCCCGAAATGAGTACGAACAAGGAGAAAGAGGAAAGGGGAAAAAAGGTTGTGAAAATGAAAACCAGAGAAATTATGAAATGGATATTGAGCTTGATGAGGCAGAGAATTAAATATTTAAAGAAAATTAAAATGTCTAGCATTCCTGTCAAATTTGCCTAAAACGCCTAAAAAAGGCATACCCAAAGTAAATTGCATGCTGTTCTTGAACCATTTGGAGTACATACATGGTTTTGGTCTCTTTTGAAAGGTGACACTCTGAGGTGTGTTCCTCAACAGTCAGAATCACTGTAAGTCTTATTGGTATTGAGTAATAGAACTTTGAACACACTGAAAAATAAAATAAAAAATCCGCCTACATTTTTTTTTTTGTAAACAGATGCCTGCAGATGACTGTAGCTGGGAGCTATTAGCTGGAAAATACATTTGGATCACAGAATAAAGTCTTACCAAGCAAAATGTTTCAAATTTGATAACAATACCTTAGAAAATTAGTGTTTTACACATGTTTATCTAAATTTATGTCTAGGCGCTTCCCAAAAAAAGGCCACTTGGAGACTCCAAATGACCCTTTGTAACCAACGACACATAAAATGCTGCAATTCTTGAATGCTTTAATGTACAGTCATAATTTTGGGCTCTAATGAAAGCTTACACTTAGACCTATTCAATTTCTTATCCAGATTCACTGTCAATAATTGCTGACACATAGTAACTGAAGCATAAACACATTATGTAGTGGTTTTTACGATTTTTTTCAGAGGTGCTGTCATCATGTCCCTCAATATATGGCTTTTTGCTGACTGGCTCCCAGACTTCACTCGATTCAATGTCAGATGATTGTCTGTGATATAAAAAAAAAAAGCAACACACACAACATTAGTTAGTAGGAACACCTCAAATCACAAACACATATAACACGCACACACACACATGACAGAAGTTAGCAAGAACACCTCAAACACAAACACATAAAACACACAACAGAAGTTAGCAAGAACACCTCAAACACATAAAACACACACACATGACAGAAGTTAGCAAGAACACCTCAAACACATAAAACACACACACATGACAGAAGTTAGCAAGAACACCTCAAACACAAACACATAAAACACACACACACACACACACACACACACACAGAGAAGAGGTGTGCACTAACTGACTAAC